TTAAAGGAACTAGCCCTTTTGACTGATTTCAAAATTTTTCACAAAAATTCACATATCTCATTATTTTTCTACTTCTACAGATCTTGTTATGCATGATTGTTAATAATTTACACTTCTATCTGTAATGTTATCTCACATTAACATATTGTTCAAGTTTATGTTTTACTAAAACTGCTTTCTGCTTCAAGCCTTCAATTAATTTGAATAATAATTCTTATATATTATATATATCATTATGTATTATCCATATATATTGCCTTAATGCTTTTACATTTGTTTCAATTTTCATGACCAAGGGCATTTAAAGATTTAACCTAGTAATTTTATGTGCATTATATCAACTCTGTAGCATAAGCCTATTATGGACAATTAATGTAGTAATATTTCACAGCTTTTCAAGTTATGTTGCTCTAACCACTCTTTCAAGCTCTCCACTCTTTCTCTTTGCTTGTAGAAAATCCATGTGCGTAAAATGTGGCAACAGCCGCAGACTAAACCACATGATGATCACAATGCTCCTAATACTGATGCAGAGGTACGTATTTGTGTTGTGTTGCAGGAAATCTGCTGTCCTCGCACTTTTCACTTGTAAATTGACTTTAACTGAGTATTTAAATGGTAAAATTGTTTTGAAGTTGATATTCATATAAAAATAATTTTCAAAATTCAATTTATACTGTTAAAGTGTGAGATCAGTTGTATATATTTTATTCTGCCTTACAAATAATCAAAATGGAGATTATAAAAAGGTGAACTAATTGTATTTCATGTGTTAAACAAATAATTCTGTTGTACAGGAGCCCTATATATTTTAAAGTCTCTGTTACATCATATCATAGTTCTAGATAGAACACATACTCTGACAAGGGAAAAAAGAATAGACAAATGCCATTGCAAAAGCCTCATAGCCATCAGCATGATGATCATCTTTGTTAGCCTAACATATTGCAGAAGAGCTGCGCTCCATTTACATTGACAATTATCTTGTAACTTTGTATGTATACCACTGGTGAAAGCAGGAAATGATTTTATGTAGCTTTTATTCATTTTTCGCCAATGTTCTATTTGTAGTTAAAGAAAGCCTATTTTAGACAGCAAGATGAAATCCGACAGTTACAAGAACAAATCAATTTAAAAGATAAAAGAATTCGACAATTAGAAGAAGAATTGAAGGGGATACGAGAGACATCTTGTGGACCAGGAGAAAGTAATTGTTGACTATAGATAGACATATTGTTAATATCATTGTCTCATTATTATTATCATAGACTATACCTCCACATTGATTATTTTACAGTGCTATAATCTATTAATCCTACACAATTAAAACCTTGCCTTATTTCACAGCCTTTATCATTGTTTAAGGTGCCCTTATACCATAGAGATTACCAGTTGTGTACTGTGTATGAATAATGAAAGTGTTCAGGAGTACCTAAATGCAACTCACAATTCAGTTGCCTATGAAACTTATGACGGCTATTCTCATACAACTGATGATAGCTATGGTTTGAGGGCCACTTAAGTTTGCAATAATATTTAAGATAAATCTACCTACTAGTGCAAGGATTGCTGTAAATTTGAGAGCAACTCACATGACCTTATTATTGGTCTATCCTCGACAAGCATTTCTATAGCTAGCTAGCTGAACCTTGGTAGGTAATAAGTCTGTGATTGGTATGAGTGACATGACTGTTACACCATTATCGAGCTTGCTATTGGGTAGTATATAGGGTTATCTTGATTGTTTGTTCACTTTTATTTGTTTTTTTTTCCAGTTTGAAATTGTTAAGTTTTGAGTTTTGAGTCAAAACTTTTGACTGAAGAAAATAATGTTAATTTTTGTTTAAAAGAACCTCAATAGAAAGTGTTTTTGAATGTTGTTGAATATGGGATACTTATCATCAGTTTCTACTTATGTAAGTGATCATTCTGTGAAATTTCTGATTTAAAAAACGGTAGAAATGAAAGATATTTTAGCAATATGGATGAATAATAGATTTCTTTGGCTTCTAGAATATCGAAAATATACCAAAATGTCAATACAACTACTTATTATTATTCAAAATTTTTCCCACCCTAGCCCATTTGGCGTTATTAATATTTACATATTACTGTGCTCATAATTATTAATTGCTCTAATTAACTTATTAGAAATGTGCAATCAGATTAAAAATATAATGCTTCCTGGCTCAATATTGATCAAAGCATAGCTCTTTTTCACCAGTAAGCTTTTAGAAATCTAAAACTTGCTTTTTTATGCTTAAGAAACTTAATATTAGAAACTGCTTTACAAATAAACTTTATTATGAAAGTTTTCAAAAAATAACATATGATCTATTTGTTTTCTTTATTTTTTTCTAATTTCTGTTAATTTTTTGTTTCGCTTTTATTTTTAGAAATTGTGACATACTTCAAGATTTTCTTTTTGACTGTTGTAAATTTTTAAAGCATAATGATATGAATTTTTATGAGAGACAAACAAATAGGATTATATCTAGTCAGTTTATAATGAATATTAAATATGTTTGGCACTGGTGAATATTCCAATATTTTTTAGCCCTTGAAAAATTTAACTCTCTAGGAATAAAGTTAGAAAAGATTTTTAAATGCTTTCAGTCTGTGACATCAATTAAAAAAAACTTAACTTTACCTATCAGCACTTAAGCACTTGTTTGATTAAGATCATTAGCAAATGATTCATTTTCATTCATTATCTGGCTTGTTTATTATATTATAAGTTTTGAATAGTAAAGGAATAGACTGTATTATGTTTTATATCATTAATCACTTACTTCTTTCTTCAGATAATCTTCAGCAAGTTTCTTGTGATATATCAATAATTGTAGAAATATTGTACATTTTTAACACATATTTATATAAAGTAATTTATCTTTAAGAATTTGATGTGATTTGAGCAAATTATTGCATACCTATAGTCTATAACAATCCTGTATACTATAATCCAGTGAATACTACTTGGTAGTAATGGACACAGAGTTCAATTACTTTTTTTTTTCTAACTTAGATAAAATAGGCTGCACATGTTTATGTTATGAATTAGAACTGAATGTGCACAATATATTTGCCAAACTAATACTTACTGTTGGTATGATTGATCTTAATTTACTATCAACTGTGTCTTGTTGCTATGTCGCAAGCCTCCAAAATGTTTACAATGAAATTATATTTATTCACATGATGCTGAAATCTAGAGGTGCCAAAATCTCTCAAGAAGAATCTGACCTTGTTAGGGATATTGAAATAATTTTAATTCCATTTATTATAGATCTGTTTAGAAACATTTATTCATTTTGTGTATATTGCATTGTTGATCAGATAATGTTTTTCTTTTAAAATTGTATTTTTTGGAATGTTGATCTGCTGCATGTTTCTCTATTTTAATTATTTTTTTTATAACTCTCCCTACTTTTTTAATATTTGGTCTCTGATATGAAATTAAACTGCCATTTTGATTAAATGAAAGTATGAGGATAAGAATATGAATTTGGAAAATTCCAGTTATTCAAATGATGCCATGACAATATATATGAAATACTTTCTGTGACTTGTATGATTGTATTTTAATACCCTAGAGTGATTTAAATTATTGTTTGTATATGATGCTCTTTGGTTAGACTGTAATTAAAGCTCTCAAACCCGTTCATACTCTTTTTTGAAATTTTCACACACCTGGAGCAATTTCAATACCATCCTAAATATACAGCATACCTTTGAGATGCCTTGATATTGTTCCTTCAATTTCTTCTGAGCCAACTCTCATGACTTGCTATCAAGGAGGAAAAACATATAAAAAGCACGAAACTCATGAATTTACACTCTTTGAAATGTCTCCAGATTTTTTACCCCAATCTCCAGAATTTTCAAGGCCTGTCTCCTGATTTCGTTTCCAGACCTGCACACATATATGCAATGTTATATCTTACTGGTAGCAAATGGAATTGTCGGAAGGTTTGGGTATCAACAAGCCAACAAAAACCTCTGGTAGTCACTCCAGTCAGCATTTTGTCAGCTCTCAAATGGTTGTACCTTTGACAGTCATTGACATCAGTTAACATTTACATCAGAAAGATTAGAAACATCATTTGGTCAAAGTGCTTGTGCTACGAAGCATGACGCTTAATAAAATTTCACTCAGTGAACTGTCAAACAAAAGTGTTAAGGAAACATCAACGTCAAATAAGTAAATTAATAGCGGTCTGAAGTATAAAGGGAATTAACTCAATTATTAGGAGGCGTTTTCGTGCATATTTTATATAATATAACCCTGGAAATCTATGATGACTGAAGATTACAAAATGGTCACGAGAATATTTTGACATTGCCATCAGAACCATTGTTTCTAAAGAATTACAAGAAATAATATATCATTAGACAAGAGTAACAATAAATTCGCCTTATTCTTTCTCGCGTCAGTATCTACATGGTACTCGCGGCTTACACCGGTAAAGGCCACTCTTCTTACCTTCTTTACGAAAACAGAACGTGTTGAAATTTATTTTTGTATAAAGAGAAAAGTAACATGGCACAACAAACTCCGAAACAAAATCAGGTGAATAGGCATACGTTCTCATTAGCTTTTTATTTTTTAACATCCGACGTGTTTACCTTGAAGTATGGATTCAAATTTCTTATGTACTCGGTATGTTTGTTTTGGCGCCTGTCCCTGTCCCTTTTGCTGAGACCTGGTGGGAGACTTGTCTAAAAAATATTCTGATGACTTTGTAGAGGAGTTAACAGAGGAGTAGGCCACATAATGTCAGTTTAAAACATAAGGACTACTGACCGAATTTTGTTTGCCAATGTTTACTTCAGATTATGTTTGATAGGCCAAGAAGGGACATATCAAGGCTGTGAGGTGCTTCACCAACCTATGGATAATTAGGATGATATTCCCCTGAGGCTTATTTCAAAAGTGACAAGTGTTGTTCAACTTTCCAGGGTTTACGTTTTAATTTCAGCCATTTGGTGACAGAGATAAGGAAAAAGAAAAGAAGAAAAAAGAAAGTATATTAGATTTATCAAAGTATTTAGATAAACCAATCAGAGTTAAATTCAGTGGTGGTCGTGAAGGTTGGTAGTTTTTTATTACTGTAAATTTATTTTCAGAGTTCTATTGCTGTTGTTTAGACAGTCCTGTTGTTCAATGGATGGGACAATGAGTGCTACTGTGGTACAGGTTCTACAGGTCAAAGATTCTCAAATATTTTGCAATTGTACAATTGGCCAAAATGCTAATTTTTCCAACATGCACACTGCATGTCAGAAGTAGAAAAGAATGTTATGATTTCTGATATCAACTGAGTCTTTCACCGACCGGCAACTCCTAAAATTTGAATTTCTTATCCACTGCAGCATGTGCCAATTATGTAATGATTGTATAACAAGATCAGTAATACTTCTATTTTTCTATTGAACAGCGACTGGAATGTTAAAAGGATTTGATCCATTGTTGAATTTAGTGTTAGATGGAACTACAGAATTTTTAAGAGGTATGGAGATGTTCATATTAATGATATAAATTTCTGCCCATTATCCTAGTAGTCTTACAAATTTTAGTATTAATTGAACTCATGTATATATTTTACAAGACACACAGTGTATATATAATTCCAAGTTCACTGTACATTTAGGTACAATAACCGTCTTATTAAACTTGTTGTTTTGATGTATTTTAGATCCAGATGATCCTTATAAATTAACAGAAGATACTCGTCAGTTAGGATTAGTTGTCTGTCGTGGTACCTCCGTTGTCTTAATTTGTCCAGCTGATGGTATGGAAGCCATTGCAAATCCTTTTGTTCAACAGGATGGATGAAAGTTGTTTTATATTTGACTTTTTAAAGACTTGTACATATTTTCATAAAATCTCAAGGATCTGAGTTTATAGTGCTAAGAATGCAGGCATATGGGTTGTATCTGATAAAAGCCCAATTATATTTGTCTATTTTATCAATCTATTATACTGTCATGAATTGTGGAACAAGAAATTGCAAAGTATAATATCACAACTGTAAATTAAATGAGTGTATATTCATTAACCTAGTTATGCTCATCATCATATATGTTGATTTGTGTAATCAGTCCATTCTGTTCTAATCAAAATAATGCAAGTTGAACCATTCAGTATCATAAAGATCATGAATAAATTGTTATGAGACTTTATGCATCAAGTCTCTCAAACTACAATATTTACAGGTCAACCTAAGGCATGGAAAGTAATAAACAATATTGAAGGACTGATGTTGTATCACTTAAAATATCATGACCATTTTTCCAAACTAGGATATTGTTGTATAATTTTGAAAATAAAAAATATACACCATGTTGTTTTCTGCATATTTTATTGCATTCTGCTGCTACAGTACTAGCAACAATGATCATATAAACAATATAGTTCTAAATATAAGATTTCTAGAAAATACAATGTCTGCATATATCATCCATCTTGTAACTTGCAGTAACACTACTAATAGCCCCACTTGACTCATGGGCCCTGCTTTGCTATAATATTTTCCTCTCAAATGCAACTTCAATGACCGAGTTTCACAGGCAATACAAAGCATGTATAATACCAGTATTGAGTGTTGCTATAATCCATTAAGTGTCTATAATATCTACGTGAGGTCAATATTTCATTTCAATGTGGCTATACAGACTAGGCACAGGGTAAGCTAAAAATTGTATCGGTGGGATGGAAAGATAACTATAAACATTAAATAAATTGTACAATGAAAGTTGTACCTAATAGATATACAAGATTGATAATGAAATGGTTCTTATTTCTGTATATGAATAGGTTTTCTGAAATTAATCAAAGCAATGTATTAGGATTCAATATGAATCTCAAGATTTTAAAGCAATGTAAAACCTGTTCATACACCATGAAGAGAAATGGCCAAAAATTACACGGAGGATGATGCTGCATTCAATACCTAATTGTGTTCACTACTTTCTCGTAAATCTCCAAATCTGAAAAGGGGGATATTGTAGACCTTGTGAACACAGTTATCATGAGAAGTATCGAACGAGTCTCCTGGTCACTGGAAGATATATGACTTCACAGTCATGTATGATCATTTCACTAGAATTATGATCCTCATGTAAAAATGTCCACATCTCAATTCATCTTCAAAATAACTTTGTGGCCTTTATATTAACAATAAATCATAGTTAATTTACAGTAAAAATGAAAAATTCTGTAACAATTAAATATTTAAAATAAAATTTCAATTTATACCAATATACTTAATTATTATAAACAACAAAAGTTAAAGCTATCTGGTTGAATGTCACAAATATAAATTTCAAAAGAACACAACACTTTGATAAACCAGTAAAGGAGGTTAGAAAATGGTTTTTAGCAGCATATATAAATACAAAACACTGTGCTCTTTAATTTCCATAACTGTATCATAGCATAATTCCTGGAATGGGCACAGTTTGTATCACAACCAAAATGGAATTCAAAAACTAAATTTTGGAATGCCATGATTATATTAGCGCCTGTGGTTTCAAATAAGATAAAGAATTCAAGTTATATAATTTCTATCACAGAATGCCTTGCACAACATAGTTTTAGCACAAGAAGTATAAATAATAATATATGTGACCAGCAACAATTGTTTATATTCTCTAATTAGTAATTTAACGAGACAAAGTAACCTAGTATTAATTAATAAATCACAACAAATCCCCCAAATTGATACATGCTATACTTGACAATGGGACTGTACAATGTATGTTATATAGGAATATAGAATTACTATAGTTAAACAAGGATATTTATGCCACTTCTGAGAAGATTCAAAACATTGTTTTACATTGCGTTTCCTCCACCTAATGGACTAATACGTAAAGTAAATAGTAATTGAAACTATTATAATTCAGATTCAACATCGTGTTCATAGCTACTTAGACTACATTAAAATATTGTAGACTGCTCATGTTTGAATGACTTGTCCTCAGATGTGCACAAAGATCTCTAACTAATAATAGATACAGGTATTTAAGTAATGACAAGCATTAATCTTAATAATGCTGCAAGTTACATTTGCACTTTTTTCAATATTCAAATGCAAGTTTAAAATTTACAACCTGAGCTATAATGAAGTGTACACAACTATAAATAAAATGTATATTCTGGCAGAAAGTGGTATATTGAAAATCAAGTTTATTTCATAATAAAAACCTGTTAGTGGTTTCTCTTTGATTGTTGTTTACTTTGTTGAATAAATCGTTGTATAACTATATAAGAATTGTATAACTACAAATAAGATTAACTGCTTATATACAATAACTACTAATATACAAAACAATAACAGATTTCAATCATCAACCAAACATAATAATTCTTTAACAAATAACATTTTAATCTATAACTTTGATTCAACTTGGCACTACAATGCTTCTGATATATCCTAGACCTTCTTGACTATATTAGATATATGTAATATATCAGGAACCTCTATGGTTTCTAGTTGTATATTGGAAGGGTTAAATGGGAATGTAACTGGATAAGAATATTTAGTGTCCATTAATAAAGTATTATTTGTATCATCACGTGATTTTAATTTCTCCTGAATTTTACGTATAAATGATATCGGTACTCTTTCTTCAAATTCATCAACTGGTGTATACAGATTTAATATCTTTACGATCTGAAACACAAGTAAAATGAGAAGTTAAATAACATAAGGGTATATCAATTGGTAAATAAGTATGACTGGTGTCAGGAGTAGGAGCCTAAACTAATTTAGGAGGTGTAAAGTTTTATACTTAAGTTTTACTTTACAATTTTACAATTTTTCTAAAAGATGGTAACAAATTATTCAAGAAGAATTCACAAACCTGTGCATTGGTTAATTTTGAACACATTTCACTAATACTATCTACATCTGAATCTGTTTTTCGAGCTTGTAATAACTGAGAGGCCTGGATAATAGGATCTAAAGCTGTGATTGCACCAGACTCACTCAATTTATTATCACGTAACCACTGTTCTAAATGACTTAGATTATATCTGAAAATGAAAGTAAAATAATACAATTTCAGTGCAAAACCCAAGATAAATCAAATATGAAACTCTGAAAGCATTATAGACATTTAGGCACAATAAGAATATAAGAAAAAAATTACCTGATTTGCATTCCTTTTGACCAGTTACACATATCTTTTCTTAATAATAAATTATTTAATGAACCAGCACAGATATAATAAAATACCTACAAAATAACAAGATATCATAAGTCTACTTATCTTATAAGTGTTAGAAATTCTGAGAAAGGGAACATACTGGTGAATGAGCCATTATGTCTTAACATCTCTCAATGCAGAAGCATTCCAAAGTCAAGAATTATGACCACAATGAAGTTTATGAAATAAATAAAAGATAGGCTATATAATATAACATTACCTGTCTAAATATCTGTTTACCAAGTTCAGGATCTACAGCATGTTGAGTTACTATTCTCATATAATTATTCAACTAAAAATAATAAATATAAAATCTTCTACACCCTAATTCACAGATCAAAAACATAGCATAGTGTCATCAGATTTCTTAAATGAAATAAATTTATGTTCTTGTCGCCCCTCTTTTTACTGTAAGGCCATGAGGTGTGGAATCAGGGTAATTTTTCTAGGAAAAAGCCATTAACCTACGCCTTTTAGTGTCAAAACTGGATGCTGTTTCAATGACAGCCCAACAGACTCACTCCAATTCTAATATTTTGGTCAGCTAATAAGAAATTAAATGAATAAAGTTTTCTGTCTGCCGATTAGAAGCAATAGATAAATCTTACCGATCTCATAAGTGAATCTAAAGAATAGTCATTACTATCTAGTTCTCTAGCACTACTAGATGACCGGCCCCGTAATCCAGATGGTTTACTGGCGTTTAACCCAGATATAGCTTCATGTTCTAATATGGCTGGTACTATACTGGGCTGAATTAATTCTTCCATCCTCTTTAATAAACCTTGATATATCCATACCGCTAAATCACTGAATACTTGACGATATTCAGATAAATCAAAATTACGAAGACATTGTTCATTCTGTTTGGTTGAGTTTTCAGGTTGGAATGCCTAAAAAAATAGAAATATTAATAAAATGTTGGAATATACATGGAGCAACCAAAACAATAATAAATTCAAAAGAATAAACTGTCCATAAACAAACAATAAGCTATCATAATATATAGTTAACAAATGCACAATGTGGTGAAGCATGGATAAGAATACATGTGTACATCTGCTAATATTACAAGTGCTTTGGTATGAAACAAACTTTTATAACCACAGCCCAAAAAGGACATGATAAGATAATAACCTGTATGATATGCAGTTCTTACCTTTTCACCACTGTATTGTTTTAATGTATGTAATAATCTACAAGTATTAGCTAACCATAGAGTTATTCTATCTAAATCATCATTATGTCTCTACAATAACACAATAGTTTATTAATGACATTGTTTCAATATGGATCTTAATGGTCAGTTAAGATCACCAAAGACAAGATGGCATAGTCAAGAAGTGAGATAATTCAAATATTCTTCAGTAGATACATATAACATGTCACTTTTGAAATAAAAAACTGTCAAAAAGAACCTTAAGGAAAATTATTGCCTCTGTAGAATGGGTCAAATATAAAACTCCGTCAAATTAATAAAATTAAATGGCTCATCTTTTTACTTCTCAAGAATGCAGTAAGGCTATAGTTTTTAAGCAGTACTTGCACTGATAAACTTACCTTCACAACTTTTTTAATACCATTAATTGTATTAGTTAATAAACCTCTGACTTTCTCATCATCATTAGTAAAATCTGTCTGTCTTACAATCATAAATAATATATAGGCTGGTAAACCTGGTATTAAACCAGCAGCTACTTTAGGTTTTAAATCTAAAAGATACAATCATTAACAAGCTGCTATTTTAATTCAAAATTTACAGAATTAGGAAATCCAATGGTATCATTTCAACCAATGCCTTGAGTCCCTGATCTTTAGAATAGCAACTAAGTGCTCCTCTCACTGAATCACATCAGCTAAGTGGATATTGGTATATCAATTGCACATTATCATTTACACTGAAGCATACTGTAAGTTATACACTATTGAACCTATGAGGGTATAGAGCTATCTCTCTACTGTATAATAATACTAACCAAGAACAAGATTTTTAATCAGGGTATTTTCATCATCTTTCTTTAATTCTAACATTCCCATAAAAGTTCTTTCTCTGTGTTTGACTGTAGCTAGTGAACCATTACCTTCACCATTTTCTGCTCTATCTAACTCAGCTTGAATCTCAGCAGCTATAAATACATTATTTAACTTATATATAAACTATCCATTTCACCAATAATATGGTTCTGTGGTGAAACAGTTTGTTCTTCAAAAATGATTTTTTGAAAATTGACCAGTGTAATACAGAAAGTGTATCAAATATAGTCATTACTGTGGAATAATTCTAGATAGGTAAACATAATGTAACTTACTAACGTAACCAATGTAATAGTCAAATTTTATTATTATTTTACAGTATCAAAGTTACAAGAAATACCTATAGCAATGCAATTTACTTACTGCAATTTGAAATAATATTCAATTTTAACAGAAGGAATTCTACCTTTCATCATGGAATCAAAAAAAAATTGGTACATTCTCAAGTGCTCAAAGTTTAGGAGACAAAAATTCATGGAATTACAAAAAAAAATTGTCTAAACTAGTCCTACGCTAAAAAAATATCAACGAAAAAAATCTCTTGGTGGTAAGTTACCACTAGTGACGTATATATTATTTCATGCCGTTTGAAAACTAAAGAGTGAAATGACGACATCAAAGGAACCTCTAATCTTACCAGTTGTAGGACTTAATGAACAGGTAGAGTCAAATGTTAATGAATGCTGCAGAGTTCCTAGTAGCACAATTTAAAATAAGAATATGTATTGACTTTCATGAATGATGATTTTGTTAAGTTAACATATTGAGGTGAGATTTCAATAGCTTGTACTCTTAACAGATAATTTATTAACATAAGGGGTCCCCCGCAAATTATGTAATTTTCATTTCATATATGGGACAAGTTCTCTAGTTCCACAGCAACAATATGTCTTTTCTCACAAAGTTTGGGCAGTATTCATTTCTTCACATATTTTGATGAAAAAAACATAAATATCAATTTTGTAATCACTTTCAAAGGTAGAAGCTCTCGGAAGCACTGGCCAGGAATTTTGTGTTAGGAGCAACAATGAACCAACTCTAAATGAATTGATGATTTAAATGACTATGTCTTACCTTCACCGGCTCGTAATTTCTTGGAATAAACCTTTAACACTTTCTTTAATTTACGTATCTGTTGAGTTTGATCATCTATCATTTCTCGTAGATCCTAAAATATTAACATCAATTAATTAAACCCTTACACATAAATAAATTTAATCATAAATATCATGGAAATTCCATTTATAATTTCATATGCAACAAAATTTATGCCTTTAACAATTTCAATCTAGTGCACATGAAATTTGCATTGGTTGACTTGATATTTTATAGAAGATCTAAGTGGACACATAATAATATTGACATTAAACTTACCAAGTTTTCAGAGGTCAATCTGGTGATTTCATGTTGCATAGTAGCTTCAATCTTAGCTTCTGGTCCCAATGATAGATTCTGAAATGGGACAAAAAAGAAATAAGACATTATATTTTAAACAGAAAAGGATGGTTGATATTTTAAATTGTATTATATTCATGCAGTAAGCCCAGAATTCAAATTGGAACATGTATTTCAAAAATAATTTTTAGTCATCAAGAACTGTTACCAAAAGATTCAATTTATCCCTTTTAACGTTGATTGAGACGGATAAATGAATGTTATTTTGCAACCATATTCACCAACATTCATATTACTCAAATCTTAAACATTGGCTAACATTAAAACACATGCAGAAACTGAGAATTTAAACTAAAACTGGAAATAATTGCAAGTTATCAAAACAATAGACCCACCACCAATAACAGCACAAAAATAATTTTAATATATTAAAAAACATTACTCTCCAGAAATATTCAACCTTATGGATAAACTTCTTTTTTGGGGGGTAAACTTGCATAAAATTAGAACTTAACAAAACTTTACAATCTTTACAAAGTTTGCTATAATAGGCATTATGCCACTTTTTCTATAGAAATCATTACAAGACATGCATACATTTGACAGTTTGATTTAAAGACGGCCAATGCCAACTATTTTCGAGAGCGTAACTCTTAGTAATGTCTTGTAAAACGTGTTATTTTGCTTGACAATCCTGTATGAAACAGGGATAATGAATGAAACGATAATGGTTTCAAACAGTGATTTAATGATAATGAAACAGAAAATGAATCATGCTAAAGAATCTGAGTTTACATACTACTGTTACATCATTTAACTGATGGTAGGAAAGAATAGAAAACAATTTTGAAAATTATTTGAAAGTCATTTTGATCTACAGATACCATAGAAGATCAGAAGAGAAGAAAAGTTCACAGTAATTATAAGAGCCCATCCTAATTAGCTAGTGTTAATCCAGCCTATATTTAACCATGGAATTCTAAGATTAAAGTTTCAGAAAAAAACAAATTAAACAGAGATCTAAAAGTTCAGAATAGAAATTTGTCAACATGGACTAATAAGGCAAAGTTCTCACCTGGCCAATGAGTTTCTGTTGTCTCTCATTGTCTTTCTTTAATTCCTTTATTTCCTTCCTTAATTCATCCTGTATTCTCTTGGCATCTTTCTCTGTCTTGTCTAATTGTGACTGTAATAATCTAGAATTAAAATAAAAATACAATATAATAATCCTATGAAAAAAAAACCCCAAAGCCTTTTTCCAAGGTAAAAGATCAAGAACCTTACAGTATGGACCTAGAACAGGTAAAATTACAAATATACCATTGCTGGATATTCTATTTATTGTTTTTTTTCAGATAATTTATTAAGGATATTCATACCAAGACAGGTACTATTAACATCATGAATGAGCAATATCATTAGTTTTGAGAGTCAAAACACTTTAAAATGAAACTACAAGAAAAATATGATGGGTTAAGTAAATGAATATACATGTATATAGAGCTCTATGTGCATAGTGTCCATAATATGTTTCAGGTTTTGTTTTAATATTTTTATATCACTCTACAATTGATGTATTGATGACTGAAAATATTGTTATTTTGGATATTGGTCACTGTTTGTTTTAAAAACTATAATTTGAACAGATTAATTTGGCCAAAAATGCAAATATTTGAGCTGAAACCATTTCCACTAAGTATAGTTAGTTAACAGAATCAGAAACTTATAGAATTATATATCATATATTACTTTCACAGTAAGAAAAATAACAACCCACAAAAAAATCAACAAGTTGGCATAACATTACATAAAATTATATACAACCTCATAGAAAAAGCACATTAGTGCTAATATTACACCTAGTAAATGGAGACTAGTCAGTAATATTGGTTGAAATAGTTAAAGGAAGTAGTAAGATTACTGAAGTATTACTGGTTATTTATTTGTAGCATTCCTTCAGTAACTACTAGTATTTTAATCACTAAACATATTAACTATACCTGTTATTTCTACTATTATTACTATTTGATTTTACTCCTACAATAATTTGGCTACCATTTTAGGTTCAAAGACAACTCATGTACAATATAAAGATCTATAACGCTGTTTTGAATAAGTGCTCAAAATTAATTACAGATTATGCATACTCTTTTTGTTAGGAAGTTCAGGATATTTATCAATTCACCAAAACCAACATGACAAATAAACGTAGCAAGACACTACCTTCAGTGATGTAGTTACAACCCTCCCTGATTATTCCTACCTATACTTTATACTTCAATATATCAATATGAATGAGATAAACCTCAACATCTTTTACATCAGTCATTGATATAGTCTGCTAGGATTTTTTATTATTAAAGAATCTTAAACCAAATTTGATATCAATGAAATCTTCACTCCAAGTATTTTCTCAGACTAAAACTGATCAAAACAATACACATTCAACACTAATAGGATTATCAAATTACCCAAAAACAATTACCATTAAATTCTGTCCTGTCAAAGGGACTGTTTAACTAATAATGGCCTGAGAAATGAGAATGAAAATAAATCGTGTCCAAACATTAACTATGATTTAACAGTAGAGTAAGATATTTAACATATTTAAAGACCAATACAGAGATATATAGGTAGGATATATCAAAATGATGTCAAGATTCTCACTATGTTTAAAAGTAAATAGTATCATGTTGATCAAACCTGACCATCTGAATAGTCTACTAGATTACTAACATAGTCCATCATTTAATTTTAATACTTATATCATAACCAACAATATTTTATGTCTATCAATATTTTAACCTATATCCATTTTCAAAATGATTATTGAAAACTATTTTGTTACATATTATATTATTAAATCACTTTTCAATCATTCAAAGAAACAAACAAACAACCAACCAACCATATTTTACAAGGATAACAATTTCTCAACCAAAACTCTTGGTATTTATCTTTCCTGGACTATGCAAACCCATTTACAGCTGCTTTTTTAGAAGACTTATTCAAAGTTTCACACGCCAACAAAAACTAGAACCCACGACCACGATTTGTTTCACCAGGCACTACAGTAGTCTAACCGATTGGGCTTCAGTTAATCAAATTTTAACAAGAAATAGAAACACATGTTAAAATAGAATGAAAGAAATCAAACCTGGTCATATTGCAATGTTCACTAATAATCATATCTAAAACTCCCACTGTCTCTTACAGTATCCTAGAGAGTTACTGACACTTAGACACAACAATTTCACATCAAATCTTTTAAATGGTGTTTAAAAGTAATTAAAGGTGAATTTAACCATTGAACTATTTTAATGTATGTTAATAATATTTGATTGAACTAGACTGTATCATATAGGTCAGTAGAAGCTGATCTCATCTGGGTTAATGGCTCAGTAGTCAAATCATTGCCAGTGATGTTTGAATATTAACAACTCAGGTGTTAAAATGGTTAGATTTAATCAGATTTAACAGAAACTAGTGATAAAAATATTGTTTTTGATGATAATAATATAGCCTTGAGTTATCACATCAGTCTACAGGCTAAAATATAATATTAATGTAAAATCACTGGCTATTGCTTATGGTCAAACTGACACTAAATTAATGACAAAGCTAATAGAAACAATCAATGAGCTCTGGATTTTAAACAAGAAGATGGTTGACTATTACTATATTATGTATACTATGTATATTTGTTGAAACATCAGAAGTAGCTTACCATAACATTGTGATCTGTTATTTCATCTTATCATATTGTCTTAGTTTATGAATTATCATTTGTTAAAGATGATTGAGGGTTTTCTTACTGTAATAGTTTAATAGCTTATGGAAGGCTGATTTTCTGTGAAAATGATCCTATTTTCATCAACTCAAAGACAATCTAAGACCTTCAGTGTTATTTTGAAGTTGATTCCAATTGATACAAAAACAATGGCAAAAATGTGATTCAGAAAATATTGTGGTCAGATAGCAGTATGATTGGTGGTTATCTTTCATAAAACAAGCATTTCAGCAGACCAGTTGATCATCATCATAATATATTAATGTACCTCCCTATTCAACATTCAGCTGCTTTGATCTCATATAAGACAGATTAAAGTCTATTAATGAATGAACATCTCACAAAAGTGAGTTTTGGCTTGAGTTTTAATCTCACAAACTTCTCAATTAAAACAATGTAAATTCTGGTGAATACATTTAACTGGTTTACCTTGTTTTATTTGGGTGGTTCACAGTATTAAGATTAATCAACAGACAAGTGAACACCCTTAATTAGCCTCTAGATCTAAAAACCTGTCTTTATGGTCCACAATTTTGTTGTTTTACTTCTATTGTCTTCTTAATACATTATTCACTTCAGAAGAAATAGAATGAACGTCAAGACGAGACTGACTCGTGAATGAATATCTGAAATTCAAGTATACCAGAGAAATCAGGGTCAGGTAAAACTGGCAAGTTGATATTTTTCACACAAAATAATTAGATGAAGCAGTTTTGTCTTTTTGTGTACTTTGCTTGTGTCGAAAGTTTAAAATTGTTATAATATTATGAATATTATGAATAATGATTTTACCTGTAGAAATATTAATGAGGTTTTGTCAATAAATTTAGTCCATTAAGGCCGTAATGAAAGAAATCAAAGAAGAAAAAAGAAAAGTAAGATGCAAAAAATCTTCAAAACATATCTAGATGATTGATATGGCCTTCAGCATTCCATTATAACTATGATAAATATTAGGGTCATTAAGTTTAACAAATTGACAAAGAAAAAATTCAAACCAGATTCAAGAGTTTATAATGACTTTACTTTTGCCCTTAATAATACATCTCATTCTATATACATGTATATATACTTCACCAAATTTCTTTATAATTCATTGTATATCAAAGGCCCATTATTGAAACTTTTAGGGTTTGTTGACTTTCTTATAAAGTTCATAACATTTTATCATATACCAGTCTCTATTCATTGTGTGTCTATATTTAATAATGAAAAATTTCATAATCTAGGGGCAAATACAGTTAAATATAAGCTTTCAGAAACAATAATTTATCTATAGCTCTTCAACTAGTCTGAAATTTACTCATTCCTACTTCATTTATTCAAGCTCTTGTCCTTAATTTTTCAAGTTCTTGGAACAGATATGAAAGTTTCAGACTCTTCTGTAAGTTCTAATTGACATTCTGTTGCTTCAAATAAATTCAGACCTAACCATGTATTATGTGAATGAATGAATTACCTATAGATTGAAAACTTAGAGAACAGTAAGTAAATAGTATAGATATTTACTATTTCAATACATAAGAAAAACTATAATTTTCAATGAATTAATTATTTCTTTTCATGTATTTATACTTTTTATATAAAGCATAGATATATGTATATATATATATTAAATATTCAATTATATTATATTGAACATAGGACAAAGATATTGCAATGAAATCAACACAATCAATGTCAATTCAATGTCTGTATTGAAATACCAATTTAGATTGTAAATGTAAGAAAAATGCACATATAACTGCCTTGTATAGATGTTTAGGAGCTGCTATCTGACAGGACAAACCCACAATCCTTCACCAGAATGCAGTGTAAAGTTGCTTTTCATTAGGTGGGAGCAGTTCGGCTTAGTAGAGGGCTATAGAATTGTCATGAGGGTCTCTTAGCACCAAGCTGACAGTAAAAACATCACTGTGTGCAAACCTGTTGCTTTGAATATATGTCCATCTTGCCAAATGAAATAAACTTGTCAAGGTCCTGTGTTATATATGTTATATATATCACTGTCATAATTAAAAACATAAGAAAATGACAGGTATAGTAATAATGTTAATTAAATCTTCCTGGGGCTTGTTTCCTCTATCACTAACATCTTAACCTAACTTTATCTTAACTTCTACTATCTTTGATCAGCTGCAAGCATTGCATAAGTTTTAACATTTTTACGATTATAAATATGATTTATAAAGTACATAATAAAAAAGATTAAAATTTCATTTTTTTACAGAAAAATTCAGACAGTTTGCAAATAGGTAGAAGAAGTGTATAGCTCATGGGAACATGAAAAATCTAAAAGACCACGGACACACCTTAAATACAGCACAATGACAGGACTGCTTGAAAATACAATTAACCATCATCTTGCCAGAGGTTTAACTACAATAGTTTAAAATTTCAAGAACC